GACCCCTGGTTCTTCCAGCCTAATGTTCTCTCTGAGCTCCTGCCTTTCACAGCCTCCTGCCCCACTGGGTATGCTAGTAGCAACTCAAATTCCACTTGTCCAAAATTGAATTCATCATGTTTTCTTTAAATCTTTTCTTTCTTCCATATTTACACTCTTAAGTCTCAACACCACCATCCATCTAGTTTTTCATTCTAAAACCCCGTAATCGTGTCTAGAGCAGGGGCGGTAAATCCAAAGGCCAATGGAGGTAGCCAGGTATTAAATTTATTTTTTAAGAAATATGTGTATAGTTCTTGGCATGTACTAGGCACTTGCATGTCATTTGCAAATGTTAACTCACTTATTACTCAGAACAACTTTATGAAGGAAGTACTATTATTATCCCTAGTTTACAGATGGGTAAACTGAGGGCGGTGAGATTCTAAAACTTGCACAAGGTCAGTCAGCTAGCCAAAGCCAGGATTTGAATGCAGGGAATCTTCACTCCAGAAGACGGCTCACTCTGCTGTCTCTCAGAGAGCAGGATAGAGCCTAGAATAATAAATGACGAAAGGGCCCATGAAGCTGGAAAATACCTGCTTCACCTCAAGGTATTCAAACTCTCTGCAGTTCCATGCTCTCAGCTCTTATTTCATGTCTCCTTAGCAATCCACTTCATCAAGCTAAGGTCCTACTCATTCAGTTCCCTTAATGTTTCTCTCTATATATCTATCTTTCTCTCTCTCTCCCTTGTTCTCTTTCCCCACCACAGCCTCAGTTCAGGCCCAAGTTGTTTCTCAGTTAACCACCACTATTTGTCTGCCATCATTCTTGCCTCTCACTAGTCTGTGCTTTCGGATAGAAGGTCAGCAAACTTTTTCTGTAAAGGCCAGATAGTAAACATTTCAGGCTTCCCAGGCCACAAGGTTTCTGTTGCAATTAACTCTGTCACTGCGGCATGATCTATGCTCAGAACAAGTGGGCGTGGTTGTGTCCCAATAAAACTGCATCTACAAAAACAGGTGATCCTTGCTCTATAGTACTACCCACAGCAGTTTTCTTAATCAAGCCTATTCCTTCCACTGAAATATAATCCAGATGGTTTCAAAGCATTAGAGAATATGCAAAAATATAAAAGCATCAGAAGAAAACATGAGTGAATGTTTCTGTAACCACAGGGTGATGAAACCCTTCTAAGCATGAAAAAAACAGATACATAAAAGTCAAAAATCTCCATGGGGCAAAATAAAACAAAACAAAACGACAAAATACCACAAAAAAAGAAAAGGACAAAATGAGAAAAAATATTTGTAATGAATATGATGTATAAAATGCTAATTTTCTTTATTTACAAAGAATTCTAAAAAGTCAATAAGGAATGACCAAGGATACAAGGGCTAACTAACAGAAGAAAAAACACAAATGATCAAAATAGAAAAAAGATGCTAAACCTTACCAAAATGGAAATAATGAAAACTCACACAAAATCTTTTCCAATGATCAAACTGGCAAAACTGGGAAAGACTGCTTATGTAGGAGTGGACTCTACAGAGAAAGTCTAATTCCCAAATGCTGGCCGGGCGCGGTGGCTCACACCTGTAATCCCAGCACTTTGGGAGGCGGAGGCAGGTGGATCACAAGGTCAGGAGATCGAGACCATCCTGGCTAACACGGTGAAACCCCGTCTCTACTAAAAATACAAAAAATTAGCCGGGTGTGGTGGCGGGCACCTGTGGTCCCAGCTACTCAGGAGGCTGAGGCAGGAGAATCATTTGAAACTGGGAGGCAGAGGTTGCAGTGAGCCGAGATCATGCCACTGGACTCCAGCCTAGGCGACAAAGGGAGACTCCATCTCAAAAAAAAAAAAAAAAAAAGTCTAATTCCCTAATGCTGTTGAGGGGAAGGGTAAATTATACTATGTTTTTAGAAACAAATTTGTTGTTCCACCAAAGATTTAAATGTTCAAAGCTAGCTATTACATTTCTAAATACTGATCCTAAAGGCAGACTCACATGAGTATACAAAGACATACATAAAGGTTAATCACAGAATTGCTTTTAATAGTAAAAAACCTGGAAATATCACAAATGTTTACCTGCAGAAGACTAGTTAATAATGGCAGATCCATACAATGGAATAGTATGCAGTGAATACTGTGAGTGAAAACTATACGTCATAAGAAAATGGCAAGTTGCAAAACTGTGTGTGTGTGTGTGTGTGTGTGTGTATTTAAAATGATCCTATTTCGGTGGAAGAAAATTTACAACCATAGCTCTATCTGCATATGTGTCTATATAGAGAAGGCGACATTTCACCCAGGGGTTTTTATCTAGAATGGTGGGAAAGGATACTTTCTCAGTTTAAAATATATGCTGCTGTATTATTTGAATTCTTTTTTATAATAAGCCTATACTAACTTAATAGAAATTTTAAAATATTTAAAAGGTAAATAAGACAAAACATAAAGTCATCATATCCCTCCATAGAAGCTTCCAGGACTTTCCATGGCTATGGTCTAACTCTTTAGCCTGATATACATACCAATATGACAACATGACCACTGCCTAACTCTTCAATCTTAATAAGCACCTCTCCTATATGATACTCAGGTCATACTATGCTACTCATAGTCACACTGAAGCTTTTTGAATGTGCCAGGATAACTCAGACTTCTATGCTTTTGCAAAGACTCTTCCCTCTACTTAAAATTCTCCTCCTCATCTTCCCTGCTGAGTAAATATTCATTCACCTCAAGTCCCTCCATAGGCAAAAACAACCTTAGGGGAAATATAATACACATTAAGCAGACAATCAAATGTTTACCTATACTTATTTGGAAATTTGCAGTGTCTCCCATGTGTCAAGCGTGCTGTTGGATGCTTTCTATGCATTAATTATTTGATTTAATTCTTAAATGATCTATTATTATTCCTACTTTACAGATGTGGAAATCACCTCAATAAAGTTAAGGAACTGCCCAAAGTCTTACCGGCTAGTAAATGTAAGAGCCAAGATCTGAACTCAAGTGTGCTTGTCAATTCTGAGTTTTGAGAAAGGAGACAGGGACCAAGAGCAGGATTAACAGAAGTCTTGAAAGGATCTGACTGGATATAAGACAGGTAGACCAGTTTCCCATAGAGGTGGGGGAACAAGTATGGTGGGGTGGAAGGACTAGCCTAAATGGTAGGGTGGAGGGACAGGGAAAAGGGAAAAAAGGTTGATTCTGAAGAACAGTTTGATCATTCCAGGTTACAGTGTTTCTTTAACACTAAGCAGGGTTGAAACAGAAGATAACATGGAGAAACTATAGACTCATATAAGCTAGGAAAATCGAAAACAGTATTTTGGGAAAGTTAGTTCGGCAACCCTGGGCTGCATGAACTGCAGGGTAAGCCGGGCAGAGGACAAAAGAAAGGAACAGTGAGGAGCTGCTGCAAAAACCAACAGCCTCCCGTGTTTCTAACCTAAACTGGGATGGCAGCTTCAGAAATGAGGATGGGAAAGCAAATCTCACAGGCCTTACGAAAGATTCTGTTGGTGACAGAAATTAGACTAAAGATGAAGGGGAGAGCGGAGAGCAAAAAGTGAAGACGACTGGTTCTAAGGCTTCCCCTCTGAAGGAAGTGAAGAATGCTGTAACTGACAGAAATGGGACGATAAGAGACAAGAGCTAATCTGCCGGGTGGACGTGCTAAGTGATGGCACATACAAAGAAGCTCCCGCTGTTGACAGGCCACATCTGATGCCTATGGGCTGAGAGGCCTCTTTTTTGGGGTGGCATCCTTATAAGCATAACTTATCTATAGTCATTCTTAACATGTCAGCAGCATGACACTCAGGCCACTTGTGTAAATGACAAAAGAGAATTTCTTTAGAAACATGCTGATTCCTTGCTTAGTGACCATAAACCACTGAGACATGTTTTCAAGGTTATCACACATAATTCATCTCACCGTCTTAGAGTTACATTACGTCAGTCAGTCTTACTAAGACGTTTTAGCTCCTTCACCAACCCCCCTGTGTCTATTCATCATTTCTTTAAAAACAACTTTCTTTAAGTAAGGCTGGTCGCTAAGGAGAGAAGTTGTCTAGTTGCCTGCTTTTGCCCTGGATTTCAGGCTCAAGTCTCTTTAAAAAAAAAAAAAAAAAATTACTCTTTTCCTGATCCTTCTGCTCTCACAAGCCTCCCTGTCTCATCTTTTCATCTGACTCCAACATTATTTACCACTTTCTGTCCTCAAAGAGGCCTGGCTTACTCTTACTGTTCACACATTATATTCAGTCTCTTTATTCTCATTTAAGAGGAATAAACCAAGTTTCCCCCAAGTTGCAGCATGACCCACAACATACCTTCTAAACAAGGTTAGCCCAGAATAAGCTAAGTCAAAGTTTGGCTATACGATGGGATAATAATGATGCTCTACCTGACTTACAGGGTGATTGTAACAACCTGTAATAATAACTTAATTATGGTAATACAATTTGGCATATGATGCTAGAATTAGGTTAAAAAACAAAATCTGGTTCAAATCTCCTTTCAGAAAAAATGCACCCTACATCCCCACAGACCTGTGACAACCCCAGAGGCTCTACAAGAAGCAAAACACAGAAGCGAACTGGGAGACACAGTAGCCACTGTGGATTCATATCAAGACCAGCAGTGCAATTCTTCCCATTCCAGAACTCAAGTCGACAAAACTTATTATCTTATGCATCTTTACAGTAGGTGTAAAAACACTAACGACAAGGAAATAAGCAGGATAAACATTCAACTTTAATTGCAAAGGAAAGGGTGACCATTTTTAGTACAATACTTACAATGCAAAACTATTTACAATTCTGTGTAAATAGAATTCAGAAAATTTAATTTCAAATCCCAGTTAAATTGAAGCCAGGAAAAATACTAAGACAGGACCTGCAGTTCCAAATTATTCTTTTCGGGTGGTAAATAAAATGAGCTTTTTGTTTAACTAAAAATAAAGTTTCAAATAAGTAAGTATATCAGAAAAACAAAGTACCTGTGAGTTTGATTTTGGATAGTCGAGCCAAAATTCCTGGCAAATCATACACTTGCAGCTTCATCTCTTTCCACCGCTTTTCCTCTTTTGTCTCTTTCCGTACATCTATTGAGTCTTCAATTACTGAGGCTGGCTCTAGTTCTATCAATTCCTTTTCATTTGGCTTTCTGGACAAAGATAGGCTGGGTGGTGAAAGAGGTCTCATCTCATACATTTCTGCTTTGGCTTGACCTGAAGATGTTTTTTCAAGGAAAGGAGATGCTACTGGTTCTGGCTTGGGTTTTACCTGCTGGTTGTGGCTTCTGTTCAGCTGTGTGACATACTAAACAAAAAAGCACAAGTTACTATTTAAAACCAAGGCCCAAATGCTCTCAAACGGTTGTTTAGCAATCTCTTTAATCCGTTCAGCTTTTACATTATTTGAAAGTTTTTCCCACAGCTTTAATATCTGTTAATTATGGAAATCACTCTACTAAGAGATATGGAGAATAAAATTTAGGCCTCAGTAATGGTTTTCAATTTCTGCAGTTTAGAAAAGCATAGAAATATACGTTCCTTGAAAGAAAAATACATTTACTTGTTATCCATCTCCTCTAGAATTTGCCCTGGAGGCTTAACATTCCAAATACAATAAAAAAGTTTTCAATAATTAAGAGCCCAGCCGGGCACAGTGGCTCATGACTGTAATCCGAGGATCCTTGAGCCCAGGAGTATGAGACCAGACTGAGCAACACAGGGAATGTCTCCACAAAAACAAAAAAAAAAATTAGTGGGCCATGGTGGCATATGCCCACAGTCCCAGCCACTTGGGAGGCTGAGGCAGAAGGATTGTTTGAGTCTAGGAGATTGAGCTGTGATGGCAGCATTGTACTCCAGCCTGAACGACACAGTGAGACCTTGTCTCACACACAAAAAAGAAAGAGCCCAAGTCAACCTGTTGACCTTCCATGTTCTCAGGCAAACAGCATAGGGAGGGGCTCAGTGGTAGGGCATAATCCAGGGCTGAATGATTTTATAGCAGGGCAGGATGAAGACAGAACGTGGGCTGCAGAGTCAGATAGTCTCTACCACTTACTAGCAAAATTAACTACTACTACTAATATTTATGAAGTACTTCACAGTTTTATATAATATATATCTCATTTAATCTTCTAAACAGTTGTCAAAGAAGATACATCATTATTAGTATCTCTCTCTCTTTCTCTCTCTTTAACTTACAGATAAGGAAACTAAGCCTCAGAAATAAATTGGCATATCAACGCTAACAACCAGCTATAGGTAGGCCTGGGAGTGGAGCCACCTATGCTGATAACTATTTAAGAGCCTTTTCCATTACATCGCAAAGATGTGAAATTACATACATTAGTCTTAATAAAGAATTACAGACTCATGAATGAAGAGTTCTATTTACATAACAAAGGGCATTATACATATTTGAATTTCTCCTCTAAATATCCACCATTTTCCTTGACCCCCCAACTTAAAAAGCCTCAACATTTCTGGAAATTTAAATTTCTTATCAACATATCGAGCTTCATTAAGATTTTAATTTAATTTTAAGTTTTAAGTTAAAAATGAGAGAAATGTAAAATAGGACTTTAAATTATAAGTTTGCTGTTCTTTCAGGCTGGCACTATGAGTTTTCAGCTACCATTCTGCCATTCTACGACCCTTTTTCTATCTGAGAAAATGCAAATAGCCTCGCTGGCAATCCATAGTAAGTTCCATATTGCCCACAAATTCACGGAATCAACCTGGATTGATGTATGTTATCAATACCTATTATAAAATGCCGAGAAAATTATAAAAACTGTCAAAATGTTTGAATTTACTCAGAAGCGCAACTGTTAAAAAAGACTTTTAAATGTACTGCTGATTTAAGAAAATGAGAGGGTGGGCCGGGCGCGGTGGCTCACGCCTGTAATCCCAGCACTTTGGGAGGCTGAGGCGGATCACAAGGTCAGGAGATCGAGACCATCCTGGCTAACACGGTGAAACCCCGTCTCTACTAAAAATACAAAAAATTAGCCGGGTGCAGTGGCGGGCGCCTGTAGTCCCAGCTACTCAAGAGGCTGAGGCAGGAGAAAGGCGTGAACCCGGGAGGCGGAGCTTGCAGTGAGCCGAGATTGCGCCACCGCACTCCAGCCTGGGCGACAGAGCGAGACTGTCTCAAAAAAAAAAAAGAAAGAAAATGAGAGGGTCACACTTTTAAATCAATTATTTCTCTATTACTGATGTAGTCACAGAACTCCAAAGAATTTTAAAAGATGTATCACAACAGTTCAGCTTTTCCCAATTTTGGCCAGGTCAAAATACGCCACAAGTTTTCAGTCTTTCTCTAAACATGATCAGTAAGTTCAGGATCATACTTTTAACCTCAAATACCAGGATTATTCTGGTTTCGGTTAAGAATAATCAAAACGAGAGATTTGGATACATTTAAGGACACTAAATACAAGTTGTTTTCAAACAGTATTTCTTAAAACTTTTATTAAATAGGAATTTCTGAAATTCCCTCAACAGAGAAACGCAAAGGCAGAAAGTAACAGTAAGAATGGTCTTCTAAACATACCATGCGTTTGAGGAAGCTAAAGTGCTGAAATGTAATCCACTGCTTATTGACATTCCTGAAAAGATGTAAGAACTTGTGAGGAGATTCCTGTATAGCTCTTCTTTCAAGATACCAGACACAGCCTCCTACCCAACCTATAATAGAGAGAGAAGTGGAAGAAAGGTTAAATGATTTGTACTTCTTATCAAATGATGACTACACCTCCCCAGAAGCACAGCCAGCCACTAATGCAGTGCTACACTGTGTGATGGGTCTGAGCTTTGAAATAATCTAATCCAGATATGCGAATAAATGCAATTTGCCAGCCCTATTCATTGTTCTGTTCAAGTCAGTGTAAGTCTTCAGAAGGGCCAGGGAAAATTTTCATTTCAGGATCACTATGCTTTATTACACTTAATGCTGAAATGACCACGCTACAGATCTTTTCAAGAAAATATAAAATGATCCGTTCAGTCAATTTTTCAAAAGTAGAAAATAAAAAGCATTAATTTTTCTTCATAAATGACAATAAATTGAAATAGATAGATTTCAGGTTAATATTTTAACTATGTAGGGTAAGACAACAAAAAGGAAGAAGAAACAGTTCTCAATAAAGTATGACTCTATCAGCCTAGTTAGGAGTAAGCTATTTTTGTTGTATCTAAATTTGGCTTTTAGATTCTACTGAAACTTCTCTCAAGTATCAACAAATTCAATGCTTCTCTGCCTTGGTCCTCATCCTATTCAAGCCTCTGACAAGTCATACAACACTAGATTCTTCCGATGGCTTCCATGACACTAACTGTTCCTGGTTCTCTGTATTCTATTTCTCAGTTGCAGATGGTGTCTATTCTTGCTATGTATGCCACCTTAAGGTAGTCATGTTCCCTCTTTCTGAACACTAAATATTGTCCCTGAGCAAATGTAATTATAGGATAATTTCTGATCTTCAAACCATTTCTAGAGTCATTGGGCCTATTTCCATCTCCTCTCTTGGTATCTCTACACAGATGGATTGCAAAATGTCTGTAAGAGCGTTCTATTCTCAATCAATCTCTACTCTGTTCCCTATTGCACATAAAACCATTACTTATTTAAGACTTCAGGAACATCTTGAACTCTCCTGTTATCACCTAACAACCATCAAGTCCAATCTACTCTGAAATATAGGTCAGATCTGTCCACGTCTTTCCATTTTTACTGATCATCTTACATTTACCATCTTATATTTGGACTATGGTAATGACAGCAGCATCCAAGCCAGTCCTCCTGCCTTCAATACTTCCTTTCCTCTCTAATCCACGTTCCCAGAGGCAACAGTTTTCTTCCTGCGGCCCTAAATACATATTACTCACACAACTCACCAAAGCAACATTGCCCATGACCCTCCACTAAAAACACCACACATTTCACAATTTGCTCATGTTTCGATTGTTTCCTTGTTTGCATGCCACTCTCTGTCAAATTTTCTGTCTTTTTGAACTACTCTATCACTTTATGCCATGTTGTATGACACTTCTTCATGCAAATTGTTCCCATCATCTAATATTTTAGTTCCTTGATGGAATTCCCCTTTACTCACCACCTTTGTACAATAGCTAGCAGAGCACTTTTATATAATAAGGAAATAATGTTTGATGACTAGATAGCCCAAACAGCACACCTGGACTATGGGAAGGAGAACTATCACAACCCCAAGAAATACATCACAATTTTCTTAGACTGGAGATAAATCACTTCTTCATTGAAATTACAGTCTCAAACCTGAGTTAATTGACATGCTTGTCTTCCATAAACATGAAAATGTGTTTGCCTTGGAACCACCTTGGAAAATAACTCTCATGATTAAGTGGGTGGATTACCTGAGGTCAAGAGTTTGAGACCAGCCTGACCAACCTGGTGAAACCCCATCTCTACTAAATACAAAAAATTAGCCAGGCATGGTGGTGCATGCCTGTAATCCCAGCTATTTGGGAGGCCAAAGTGGGCGAATCACCTGAGGTCAGGAGTTCGAGACCATCCTGGCCAACATGGTGAAACCCCACCTCTACTAAAAATATAAAATTTAGCCAGCCGTGGTGGTGGGCGCTTGTAATCCCAGCTATTCAGGAGGCTGAGGCAGGAGAATTGCTTGAACCCGGGAGGCGGAGGTTGCAGTGAGCCAAGATTGTCCCATTGCACTCCAGTCTGGACAACAAGAGTAAAACTCCATCTCAAAAAAAAAAAAAAAAAAAAAAAAAAAAAAAAAAAAGATTAAGTGGGTCAAACTGAGATTTTACAGAATGGTAGTAAGAAGAAAAAACAGTTAGGAAACTGACATTTCATTTAGTTGAAACACGCCACATTTCTATGAATCAGTGCCCAGAAACTGAAAGACATTTCAACCTTGTGTAAACAAATTTAAGTTTGAAGATACACAAAGATTATACATTAAAATTCTGGAAGCATAACACCATATCTATTATTCACCATCAACACTGGCTCCTGATTTTAGGACGTTTAAAATTAGGTAAGGAGACAAGTAACTAAAAAATGCTGACATTTTTTATTTTCACTTTTTTATTTTTTGAGATAGAGTCTTACTCTGTCACCCAGGCTGGAGTGCAGTGGCACGATCTGGGCTCACTATAATCTCTGTCTCCTGGGTTCAAGCTATTCCCCTGCCTCAGCCTCCCAAGTAACTGGGATTACACGTGCACACTATTGCACTTGGCGAATTTTGTTTTTCTTTTTTTCTTTTTTTTTTTTTTTTTGTATTTTTAGTAGAGAGGGAATTTCACCATGTTGGCCAGGCTGGTCTTGAACTCCTGACCTCAAGTGGTCCACCTAACTTGGCCTCCCAGAGTTCTGGGATTACAGGCGTGAGCCACTGCGCCTAGTTTTTAAATGGCTATAAAACACTTAGAACTTTTAGAAGCAAAATCAGGCATGATACTACTCGATCACTAACACTGTCCCAGGTTACCTTCTCTGCCACCTCGTCCCACCATGCTGCTTCCCCATCAAGCTCTCTTAGTAATCTTCCAAGTGGATCATAGGAAGTTATACAGGCCACTTACTAGCAGAGTTTTTGGCAATTATGTTCACAGCTTCAGGGAGTAAGCTGTCTATTAATTCATTCCATACCACCACTGCAAAGACCGATGCAGCAACAAACCATGTGGGCCATATGCAGCCCACCATTGGAACTGGGGAATTCATAGTAGTCAAGCAGAATTGTCCTATAGCTGACAATATAGAATGGAAAGGCAGAAAAACAGCTAATCTGAAGGATGCATGCTGGAAAAACCTACATACAGAGGAGGTATTTCAAGCACTAGAAAAGGATGAGTTCTCTGAGAATGAGTGCCCAGGATCAGGATCAAAGAACATTCACGGTCAGGGATGGTAGAAGGTAACAAAGAAGTGATTCAAAAAAGAATCATGGGACTTTAAAAAACAACAACTTTTCATTATAGAAAATCACAGCCATGTGTAAAAGCAGAAGAGTACCATGAGTCCCCATTACTTATCCCCAAGCTTCATCAATTACCAAACCCTAGCCAATCCTGTTTCATCTATTCTACCTCTCCATTTTACAAACCAATCAGGACCTTTGAGATCACCTACTTCAATTACATCATTTTACAGATGAGTAAACTCAATTCCAGAAAAGCCAAATGAATTGCCCTGGGATCACACAGACCAGAAGAGAGCCATAAAATAACATTATGAAAAAGAAGAAAGCAATTTCATGGAGTCACAGTGTCAACATCACCAGATGGTGCAGACAGTTTGTGTGTGGTAGGTGACAACTGAAAAAAGTTTCTGGGATGTGATCAAAAGGCAGTCCCTGGCTTCTCTTATCTGGCCTCTAATATGCACCACCATTCCTCACACAACCATTAGTTAATCATCTAAGATACTGGGGGCAAGACAATTCCCAACGTCCTCTTTCATATCTCCATGGGGACAAATTGCATCCACCCAAAAATAACTATTGGGAGCAAACAATGTACATTAAGTAATGTTCTGGGCACTGGAAACAGAGGTAAACCAGAGATGGACACTGTCCCTGCCATCACAAGGTTTATATTCTAGTTAGGAAAAACAAATAATAAACTAGTATATAAATAAACAAGTATAGACTGTGCTAACCATAATGAAAGAAATAAATGGAATGATGTGAAAAGAAAGAGGTAGGGGGCCCTAGTTTATATAGGGTGGTCCCTATAAAGGCCTCTCTGAAAAGGTGACATTTGAGATGAGACATGACCAACAGTCAAGGAAGAACATTCCAGCTCCAATATACATTTGTCACTGGTTCCTTGGAGTGAAAGGATATTCAAGACCACTCTGGCGGTACAAAGACAAAAGTCTGAGGGGGACAACAGCCCGCTGTCTGCAACTGTCATTGTCATCACCGTTGTCATCACGACCCTTTATATTGGAACAAGGCTTCTGAGTGGAAGCAAAGTACTTTCCTTGTCATTGCAAGCCAGTGGCTAGAAGCTGAGGATCTGATAAGGAGGACTGTGGAACCCCAAGGTTCTACTCTGCCCTCTCCTCCAGCTTCCGCTATCTGAAAACCGAAAGAAGCACTAAGACGCCGCTCTTCCGCAGAAGCCGGATGGAAGAGGCGGTGTGGACCACCAAAGCCACAGTGCAAGACTGGACCCTAGTTCCATAGCCTCTTCGCTCCAAGCTACTCCAGAGGTCAGTTCCCCCACCACACCGGTGGCCGGCCAACCTCGCCAAGGGCTCCCCAAGGTTGCAGCCAGCCGGAACCACGGCCTCGCACGTGGCAATAAGAGAAGAATTTCCCCCAAGGTCGTGCCCAAGGCAGGTACAGTACCTGCCAGGAGGCGTGAGGAGAGAGTGTGAGGAGATGCGGCCATAATTCACGAGTCTGGCCGCTCCCCGGGATCCCCGTGTCCTCTCTCCTCACGGGCTGCCGGGCGCCGCCATCTTCCTTCCCCGCCCCCCTGTGGGAGTAGTTCCGGGCCGTCACTTCCGGCCGGCGGGCTCCGGGAGGAGGGCGTGGTGCCTGTAGGTGATCGCAGCGTACACGCTGGAGTGTGGCGGGCTGACAGGTCTGAGACCTGAAGGACCCGGGAACCGCAAAGCACGGTGTGCCTCCGTTGTCCTGAAGAAAAAGCCGCGCGCAGATGACTGGCCGGCCCGCGCTGGCAGCTCCCAGACGTTGACAGGCATCCTCGGGTGACCGGGTGAGGTGGGCAGGGCTGGGCTGCAGAGTCCTTGCGGGCAATTTAAAGTTACAGCGGCCGAGCGCTGTGGCTCACGCCTGCAATCCCAGTGCTTAGGGAGGCCAAGGCGGGAGGATCGCTTGAACCTGGGACCTCGAGACCAGCCTGGGCAACAAAGCGAGACCCCACCTGTACAAAAAATGTAAAAAGTAGCTGAGTGTGGTGGCGCAAGCCTGTGGTCTCAGCTACTCAGGAGGCTGAGGCGGGAGGATCGCTTGAGCCAGGAAGATCGAGGCTGCAGTGATTGCGCCACTGCACTGCAGCCTCGGCGACACAGTGAGACCCTGTCTCTAACAATAAATTTTAAAACAAAAATAAAGTTACAGTTAGAACACTTCCAGGTGACAGGAGCATCATGAGGAAATGGTTCTCGTGGCGATGCTTCCACCTCCACGTCTGATCAGTTACACTTTACCATAGTCTCCATCAAATGGGAGCCCAGATGAACTCCGGGTTACTTGTTTCTGAGCCACACTAAAGGAACTGAATCATCCAGATGTTTCCAGATGAAGAAGGTGCATGTAGAGGTTCAGATTTGGTGCTCTGGAGTGAAATCCGTATTTCAGTTCTGTCCTTGTGACCTTGCTTGAGCGAGTTACCTAAGTACTCTGGACCTCAGTTATCTAGCAATACAATGGGGTAATAATAGCACATCTTTTATAAATGGTTGAGATAATTAGATAAATGTGCGTCATGGGTAGTCAGGCACCTACTAGGTACAGGCACTAATAGATTGTTACCTGTGTTATCATAAGTGTTGTGATTACCGGGGCAGATCTCAGCATCCCCCAGCCCCTCAATCTTCTTTACAGATTGGGGTTCCACAAGTAAAGGTAGATTGAAGAAAAGATTCCACTTTTGAAAAAGAAGAGAAAAATAGGTAATTGGGTTCTAAAAAGGCAATTTCTTTCTGTGTTTTCAATAATGAGAGGATAGCAGTTTTGGTTCACCTCAACTAACATTGCTAGGCACAGGGAACGCTGAAGAGATTAAGACACCCCCCCTCCCCGATTCTGTAGGAGCTTACACTAGACCAATGAGGGGACAAGACGTTGTTGATTGTCACTACCATTGTGATAGGGGTAGTATACAAAGTGCTGCAGAAATGCTGATGAGGTAACATTTCTGTGCGGTTGGTTTAAGGAAGGCTTCAGAGATTTAAACTTGGTGCTCTGGAATGAACAGTAAGATTTTTACAGCATATAAGAAGGGAAAGGACACTCCGTAAAGAGGAAAATAGCATTAAGTACTGTGTTAACAGTTTTTGAACTCTTTATAATTTTCCATGTGCTTTTATAAACACTTGTTGTTTAAACCTAGAGCAAAAGTTATCCTCTCTAAGTCTGGCACATTAAGGCCCAAGAGTTTTAAGTAAGCCGCTCAAAGTCACCCAGCTGTCGAGTGCCGGAACAAAGACCTGAGTCCCTGAAACCTGTGAGAATGTTGTATTTTCACCATGCCATAAGGCCTTACTCACCTAAGCATCTTGAAGAGTCATAGCTTCTGTGATTTATAAAACAGTGTTTTCACCTTGGCTGCCTATCAGAATCAAATGTAGGACTTTAAAAAATTATAGATGTCTAAGCCACCTCTAGACCTATTGAATCTGAAGAGGTGTATGATAGATGTAGAGAGACCTGTAATTTTCTCTTTAAAGCACCGCTGGTGATAATGATACACAGAACTGAGAATACTGGATTCCAGCTTTTACTTCACAACACAACCATGTCTAAAAGGTTGATTAACATAAATGTTATATTTCGCTAACTCCCAAGTTCTCTAGGCTTATGATAGACAAGGGGTTTAATAGACATGCACCTCCTTGACCAACAGATTTTTCCTTTGTTTTAAATTTTTTTCCAAAAATGGGGGCAAGGTAAGACCAAGTACACAAATGAATGCTTAGGTTTTTATTTATTTGTAGAAATTAGAGGCCAGGTGCGGTGGCTCACACCTGTAATCCCAGCACTTTGGGAGGCCAAGGTGGGTGGATCACCTGAGATCAAGGGTTCGAGACCATCCTGGCCAACATGGTGAAACACCGTCTCTACGAAAAATACAAAACTTAGCCGGCTGTGATGGTGGGTCCCTGTAATCCCAGCTACTCTGGAGGCTGAGGCAGGAGAATTGCTTGAACCTGGGAGGCAGAGGTTGCAGTGAGCTGAGATTGCGCCCCTGCACTCCAGCCTGGGAGACAAAGCAAGACTCCTTCTCAAAAAAAAAAAAAAAGAAATTAGAATAAATGTTTTATGGAAGAAATGTCTGAGAGATAATACATTCTGGCTTTACTGGCCAAGAAATGCACTTATCTATCTACTATTTGTGATATAGTTAGCCTAGGCCATCGTACCCTCCAAAAAAGTAATCCTTTAGAGATACTTCTGGAATGAAGAGGGTTCCATGACCATATACATTGACTGGGCCATGAGTAGCGGCAAGGAAAGCAAGGAAAGCTGAAAATAGAGTTGCAATGATTACCTTAGGCCAGTCACAATTCATCACTGTGGACCTAGCTATATTGCTGTCTCAAATCAAATTAACATTAAACCAAGGAAGAAGTGGGGAATAGATTTTGGATAAGTAACTGAAAGAGTATCACAACTATTTGACCCACAGTTTTCCAAACATTTTGAACACAACCCATTTTATAAAATACCATTAAAACAGGAAATAGGACTTTTAGAGATAGGCCTCAGAAATCTATATAGCTCCCTACCTTTTAATTTCTAGATTTGTAAACCCAGGTCCAGAGAGGTTAAGTGATTTACTCTGTAATAGAACATTGACTCTAGACATCCAAGTCAGCATTTTTTCCATTTCATTATATTGTCTTTTTTTTTTGTCCCTCAGTCTCCTTGTAGCATCTTCATTAATGAAATAGTGTAGGACTCCACAATTAGATATAGTATTTATTTGACTTTGCATTTCACATTTCAAGCAAAATATATTTCACAGGCTATGTTCAGTATCACTTGTGGAAAGAGATATAAGTAATCAAAAGCATTATTTTTTAACCAAAATATTAAATAGATATAAATAATTGAAAGCATTATTTTTAGCTAGCAGCATTATATATAATATCGCATAATTACAGAAAGTTGAGTTATATCATTCAGTTGTGTGTTAATATGGTCATTATCACGTATGTTTTTTCTTTTCTTTCTTTTTTTTTTTTTTGAGACAGGGTCGCACTCTGTCACCCATGTGGGAGTGCAGTGGTATAATCATAGCTCACTGCAGTCTCAACCTTCCAGTCTCAATTAACCCTCCTGTTTCAGCCTCTAAAGTAACTGGGACTACAGGCACATACCAGCATGCCTGGCTAAGTTTTAAATTTTTTGCAGAGACAGGGGTCTCACTGTGTTGCCCAGGCTGATCTTGAACTCCTGGACTTAAGCAATTCTTCTGCCTCAGCCTTTCAAAGTGCTGTGATTATAGGCGTGAGCCACTGTGCTCATCCTGCTTATATATTTTTAAATAGTGTTCGTAAAGCTTTGTAACTTGTCTCTTAAAATTAATATTTCAAAAGCCTGAGAACCTAGAAAATGGAAACTAACTTATACTCTCATCCCATTTTGTCCTGTAGGCTGGCTGCTCCTTTGCTTTCAAATAAGATTTCTTCTCAGAAAGTCTACATGTACTGAATAAAATCTGCAGTTTATACAATATCACATGACTTCAAAGTAAATCCTAACTTTTTCAAAGCCTCGCTGAATTTCCCACAATAGATAAAGACCCAGCTTTCCCTAGGAGCTGAAGGGAGAAAAAAATCCCAACCTAGTATGCAGGGTGTGACCAGTTGACACAGAACCATGTATTTGAAAACAAAATAGATTTCAAAACCTAAGGGGAGGCAAATGATTTGAGTAGATTTTCTCCCAAGCAGACTTACAAATGCCAAGAAGCACGAGGGAAAAAAAACCTTAGCATCATTAGTCATTAGGGAAATGCAAAGCAAACCTACAATGAGATATCATTTCACATCCACTTGGATGGCTGTAATCAGAAAGTCAAATAATAACAAGTGTTGACAAGGATATGGAGAAACTGGAACCCTCAAACATTGCTGACGGGGATATAAAATTATGTAGTCACTTTAGAAAACAGTTTAACTATTCCTTAATAAGTTAAACGTGGAACTGTATGATCCAGCAGTTCCTCTCCCAGGCATAGACTCAAGAGAAATAGAAACATACATCCACACAAAAATGTATATATGAATATTTATAGCAGTATTATTCATAATTGCCAAAAAGTGGCTACAACCCAAGTGTCCATCAACTGATTAATGTATGAATGTTGTATATCCATACAGTGGAATGTTTGGCCATAAAATGAAAATGGAGTAGCAATACATGCCATGATATGTATGAACCACAAAAACATACCAAGACCACATATTGGATGGTTTCATTTATATGAAATGTCCAAAGTAATTAAATCCATAGAGACAAAGTAGGTTAGTGGTTGCCTATGGCTGGGAAGGTGGGTAGAGGTAAAAGAGAAGTGGCTGCTAATGGGTACAAGGTTTATTTAGGATAGAGGAGGATGAAAATGTTCTAAAATTGATTTTAGAGACAGTTGAAAAACTCTGAATATGTTAAAAATCATTGAATTGTACACTTTAAATAGGCACGTTGTATAGAATATGGATTATCTACCAATAAACCTGTTTTAAAATTAGTTAGGAAGAGCTACTCAAGGAGATCAAAGGTCCTGGTGTTGGACAAACATCTACT